GGTCGCCAGAAAATCCTGGCTGAGGCAAAGACAGAGCCTGCAGGGGAGCAGCAGAGGTGTCCCCATGGCCCGGAGCCTAGCTTCTCCTCCAGCCTGGGTTTGAGAGTGTAGGAAAAGTACAGCGGGGAATGGAGGGAAAACGGGCTTTGGATCCAGAGATCCTGAGCTCTGATCTTCTACGTCCATGCTGTGTGACCTTGGGAAAGTCACAGTCCCTCTCTGGTCTCTCATGCCCTCTCCTCCTCTCAAAGGAGTCCTATCTCATGAGGCTGATGTAAGGATAAAGGCTGACTGCCACGATATAGAAAGCACTCAAGAAACGTTGATCCTCCACCTAAGCAACTAAATCTCAATGTTCAGGTCTAAACGTGAGGGAGATGGGCTGGATATTTCCAAGGCTTCTTCTTGAAGGTTTTCTGCTTCTGTGGTCCAAGCAGCTTCATGTATAACCTCTGTGGGAGCCTACTTACCAGGCCCCAGGGTTTTCCAGCTTTAGGAATAAAAATGCAGCTTCCTGCCCTCCCCTCATCCCTGCTCCCCCCGCCCCTCCCATCATAATGAACTGAAATCCCATCCAGCAGAAAGATGCTGATTTGGATGTATTGGAGTTCAGCTTTGGCTGCAAAGAGAAGATGCCTTGGATCCCCAGGGACAGAGGAAAGCATCTTAAATCTCGGTCCTCACTGCCACACACTGAATGCCTTGCAGTGGGTCTGTGTCAGCCCTTTGTGAAAACTGCCCCCACCCCATCTCACTGGAGCTGGCCTATTAAGCCGCTCCTCTGTTGCCAGAGTTGAGGTGGGCTGTCACCAGCTAGCCTGGGAAATGGTACTTATAGATCGCGTTCCCTCTTAGCCCTGGTCCCCAGCCTCTCCCTGAGCGCTTGTCGGTGAGCTCCAACTATCTGTGAATGGAGGACAGGGATCCCGGCAGGTCCAGGGGAAGCAAGGAATGTGATAATAGGCCCTTCACACATTCAGAGTTTCAGTATTTTTCCATTATTTCAATATACTTTTCTTGTGGCCTGCTTCCTTCTTCTTGCTGGCTTTGTCGTTATAATTTTCCGTTCTGGTACGTCGGAAAGTGCACTGGTGCTGCAGTTAGAGAACTTGGTATTTGAACGTGGACTGACTCTGTGATGTCAGACAAGTTATCCCACTTCTCAAGGCCTCACTCTCTTCACCTGTGCTGTGGACGGTTATCCGTGCTGCTCTGGGAGAGCTCTGGCACAACGCCTGGTATACAGTGAGCGCTCGGTGGTTGTGAGCCATTGATTCCCTTGGCTGGTTTAAGGTGCTGCATGCCTTCCAGCATGGCAGGGTTTCTGAATATCAGCAGTTACTACCCACTGGCTGGAGATGGAGAAGGTGTAGGAGATTGCTCTGACTGAGGTGGCCTCCTCATTATCAGAAGTTGCTTGTGCTAAGGACAAGCATGCAAAAAACTGGGATGAGCTTGTTTTTTCTGGTTTTGCTCTCTTCAAAATGAAGGACTGAAATCTAAGGAACGTTCACTGACCTTGGGAATCGGGGCTCACCAATAACATTGCTCTCCGTCTGACCCCCACCCCCCTTTCAGAAAAGGATGGTTTGCCTTCCCATGGCCTATCCGGGGTCCACGTTCCCTGATTCTGGGAGTTACGACGCATGAAGGCTTGGCTGAGTGTCTTCGTTTCCATCCTGCCCACACTAATTTCATCCCGTCACCTTTCCCCTCTCCAGCCCTCCTCGTCCACAGCCCCCGTCTGCTCACCTGGGTCGGGCTCCCTGTTTCCCCCTCCACCTCCATCACTGAGGCCGTTCCTTCTCTCCTCACGCTTCCCCAGTCCCCACCTCTCTCCTCCATTCTCTCTTTCTTCTCTGCCTGGGCCTCGCGCTCCCAGCCCCCCTCCCCGTGCCCCGCCTCTTCTCAGTCCTCTCGCAGTATCATTAATGCCTTCTTTGATACAGCCCACAACCTCACGATTATTCTGAGGTCAGGAGATGCAGGTGCCAGGCAGCTCTCTGCTGCGCCTCAGAGGGCCTCTGTCCCCAGTCCCTCCTGCTCGACAGGGCTGGAATCCTAATTGGCCACTCGCCCCTTTGCTTGTGGCAGCCTCACCAGGAACTTTCATCTTCCTCTTTCCTTCACTGAGAATGCTGAGAGCTCAGCCACAATGAGGCATTGATTCAAGGAGTGGGGGGATGCGGTCCTGACAAAGGGTCCCAATGATGAGACACGAGAAAGGGGGCGCTCTACGGGAGGAACTTTCATCTTCCCCTTTCCCTCACTGAGAATGCTGAGAGCTCAGCCACAATGAGGCATTGATTCAAGGAGTGGGGGGATGCGGTCCTGACAAAGGGTCCCAATGATGAGACACGAGAAAGGGGGCGCTCTACGGGGTTATAGAATGCCTTGCAGATGGGAACAGAGGAGCTCTAAATGGGGTACTGTCCTGTCACTTGGAGAGGGAGTGACGGGGCAAGTGTGGGCCATTTGAAAGGGGCATTTTGAAATGACGCTCTCGTCAGATGGAACCACACGCAATCAGAGACGTGCGGCGTGCCCCTGCGGCTCACAAAAATATCAGATGACTCATAGGCGATATTCAGTCAGTGTTCTGGTTGGGGAGCTGGGAGCCGCACGGCTCATTATCATTCCAGCTTCGTCTCCTGAAGGCTGGGCCCGCTGCTGTTCTCCAGGCTGTAATGGGATTGGTCCCACGAAGCAGAGACCGGGGAGGCCTGGAGCTGTGCGGGTGCAGAAAGGTATTGAAAACTAATTCAGCAGTTCGGGAGAGAGAAGAGGAGTTTGTTTGTTTGTTTTTTAAGTGAAAAATAAGAAAACTATGAATTTTTGTCTGTCCATTCATTCAGCAAACATTTATTTAGAGCCAGGCTCTGGGCTAGATGCTCAGGGAAGGAGGGGTCCCCTCTCTCCAGCCTTAGAGCCTGGAGGGGAAACTGACCCAAAAAACCAGGGGTTTCAATACAGTGTTTTGAATGTCATGAGGGAGGTTTCATTGCCAAAGCCAGGATCGTTCTGTAGAGTTAAAAGGCAGAGCTGTTTCAAAGAGCGCTTTAATTTTTCCTCCATTTTCTCTCAGCTGATAAACACCTCCTTTAAAGCACAGCATCCTGGGAAGCCGTTTCAACAGTATCCATTTTCAAATGTCTCCACTAACCAAATGGTTTCCCTCCAACCCCAGAGGGATGGTGAAATCCCTGAGAGTGTGTCTCAGTACCTTCAAAGGAAGAGCTTATTCTCTGGATGAGAGTACTTCTTATTACCTTTTTAATAGTTGGTCTGTGCCAGGCTCTGTGCTCAGTGCTTTAAATACACCGTCTCATTCAATCCTCTCCCTCACTGCCTAAGATGGGCTTTATTATTCTCTTTTTAGATATGGATACTGAGGTTCAAAGACACAAAGTATCTTGTTCCTGGTTACAGAACTGAGCCTCCCACTCGGTTCTGCTTGGGCCAGTGCACATGCTTTTCAATATCAGGCTGTACTGCCTACCTCATGGTTCTTGGGCTTGGTGATTGTGGCTTGGCAGTGGAAATGACAGAATAGGTAGATCGCTAGCACTTCCTACCAGACGCAGTACAATGCAAAAGGGCTTCCATTTCCAGTTTTCAAAAATGCGGACCAGGAACCACTGCCGCCACGGTCATCATCATCGTCAACATCACCACAGCACGTGAGAGCCTTAAGAAAGGCTTCCTTGACTCTTGTTTGAAGAGCTACGAGCCAGGAGATTTCACCTCTGAGCTTCTCTTGCCATGTCTAGAAAGTGGAGCTGCGAGTCCCTTGGCAGGAATAACAAGAACTAACTTTTATGGAGTCCCTAACACCTACCAAGTTAGGGACAAAGACTTCACAAAAAAATTCATGTCATCCTCACCACAGCCCGGTGTGGGGGGAATGATTAGGAAGGTGAAAGAAACTGCCAGCATTCCCTTGGCTCAGGAGTGGAGGTGCCAGGATTTGAAACAATCTCGGACTGACCTCAAGTCCCAAGCTATTTTGGGGATGTGGTTGTGAAGCTCAAGTGAGGAAATGGGAGTGAATGTACCCTGTGCAGGGTAAAAAGTGCTAGACACATGTAAGGGATTATTCGTAGCATGGAAGAGGGGACTTGCGCAGAAATGAGGAAAGATGAGAGGCCACTGAGCTGACTGTCTTACATCTTTTTACCTGTTCTTCTGTTGCTTCTTATCTGATCTAGTATGTACCTTCACTGGAATGTTTCAGAGGCCGGAATCTGGGGACAGGCTTGGGTTTGTTTATAAACGTGTTGAGGGGCTGTGGAGAGGGGGGGACTAGAGGTACATGTTGTGACGGAAATTTCACTGACCTGAGCGTTTGGAGCTCTGGAAAACATGGGGGAAATAACATCTTTCTTACCTGTTCTGAAAAGCCACTAGGAGGATCACATAAGATCATAAATATGGAAGCACTTCCTGATCTCCAGAGTAATATAAAATATAATTTGTTTTTGTTGAAGTTTTTGGATATTATATAACGTCATGGGAGGAATCTGTGAAGAGGGTTGAAACACCTGGTGCAGGTTAAAAGAAGTAACCCCTAAATTCGTCTTATTGCCGATCTTTTACAATCTGTTGTCATCCGGCAGGGGTTTTTGAGTTCATACGCTTTAATTTTCTGAATCAAACGTCCGCGGGACGAATGAATAATACAATTATAGAGCTGCAAGGGCTTCAAAGAACATTCACTCCAACCCCTTCCCTTTACAGATGAGGACATTGAACATTAGAAGGGTAGAGTACAAGGTCGAGTAGCTGCTCTGTGGCATTACCAGGAACTACAGTGTAGTTCTTGAAGTACTATCACAGGTGCCCTTCCTACGATAACTGTTCTACCCAGTCCTTTCATTCTTTGGGCAGCTCCACTTTGCATTAGCAGTTGGATAAGCATAACCCCACTTTGCATTAATAGCTGGAAAACCGCAAGCCCACCCATGATGGTTAACATTCTCCATCTCACCTCTACCCCTCAGGACAATTCAGCAGTGGCTTGCAAGGGTCCAGTCGCTTCTCTACTGCAATGAGAACGGGTTTTGGGGCACCTTCCTGGAGAGCCAGAGGAGCTGCGTGTGCCACGGCAGCACCACGCTGTGCCAGCGCCCCATCCCCTGCATCATCGGAGGGAACAACAGCTGTGCCATGTGCAGCCTGGCCAACATCTCGCTCTGCGGCTCCTGCAACAAGGGCTACAAGCTATATCGAGGCCGCTGCGAACCACAGAACGTGGACTCGGAGCGGAGCGAGCAGTTCATCAGCTTCGAGACCGACCTGGACTTCCAGGACCTGGAGCTAAAGTACCTGTTGCAGAAGATGGACTCGCGCCTCTACGTCCACACCACCTTCATCAGCAACGAGATCCGTCTCGACACCTTCTTTGACCCCCGGTGGCGCAAGCGCATGTCCCTCACTCTCAAGAGCAACAAGAACCGCATGGACTTCATCCACATGGTGATCGGCATGTCCATGCGCATCTGCCAGATGCGCAACAGCAGCCTGGACCCCATGTTCTTCGTCTATGTCAACCCCTTCAGCGGGAGCCACTCAGAGGGCTGGAACATGCCCTTCGGGGAGTTCGGCTACCCGCGCTGGGAGAAGATCCGTCTCCAGAACAGCCAGTGCTACAACTGGACTCTCCTGCTGGGCAATCGGTGGAAAACGTTTTTTGAGACGGTCCACATCTACCTACGTAGTCGGACTCGGCTACCTACCCTCCTGCGGAATGAGACCGGCCAGGGCCCTGTGGACCTGTCCGATCCCTCCAAGAGGCAGTTCTACATCAAGATCTCGGATGTGCAGGTGTTCGGGTACAGCCTGAGGTTCAACGCCGACCTCCTTCGCAGCGCCGTGCAGCAGGTCAACCAGTCCTACACGCAGGGCGGCCAGTTCTACTCCTCTTCGTCGGTGATGCTCCTCTTGTTAGATATTCGGGACCGAATCAATCGCCTGGCCCCGCCTGTGGCCCCGGGGAAGCCGCAGCTGGACTTGTTCTCGTGTATGCTGAAACACCGCCTGAAACTGACCAGCAGCGAGATCATCAGGGTGAACCACGCGCTGGACCTCTACAACACCGAGATCCTCAAACAGTCGGACCAGATGACAGCCAAGCTCTGTTAACCTGTACTCTTTGCCACGGACGTTCCCTTTTGTTGTACAAACAGAACAGAGCCAAGCAAAGCAGAACAAACGCAAATTTGTAAAATGTAATTAATATTCAAAGGGAAGGAGGAAAAAATCTTCATTCGTTGGAAACGAAAACACTCTAGCAACTGTATAAAACCGTTGGGCATGTTTGTTATTTCTATACTCTGTCGTGAGGAAGGGTCTCAGCCTTGGGAGGAGCTTGGAGGGAGTTGCTTCTTAGGCCTCAGGTGCTGTATTGAGGGGGGAGATGAGAGAGAGCATATGCAATGAATGGTAAAGATCTCTGCTGTGCAGGTGCTAAGATTAAACACTAAAAAGAAAGCTATATGTAATGTACAACCGACACTGCCATTTTTCCTTGTGGGAGGAAATGGACATAGATAAAGAAGATATTTCTTCGGTTATGATTTCTTTCCTCTTTATCCTTAATTCCTTGTGGTTCTTTTGATTCATTTGCACACAGGGGTGGGGATGCAATGACAATTCTGCCTCACCCAGATAGCTTCTTTCACGCTGAATAAATTGAAGCTGGACAATAGATGGGATTGGGGGGGAGAGGCATTCACATAGTCACAGCGTGTTCAAAACAGTAAGGAACCTTGGATATCAGCTTAGTGACCTCCTTGATTCCGTTTGGGAAATAGCCTCAGAGAGAAATGGCATGCCCTTGGCTACACGTGGTTACTGCATAGCTGAGTAGCGATTTGAGCCCTGCTTTCTGACTCCTTCCGAATCATGCTGGCCACTTTTGTTGTTTACTCCAACTAAACTGCCAAGGGATGAATGTTTTTCAGCCTCAGGTTGTTTTGATAGTTCTTTTTCTTTTAATCAAGAAACCCCTTTTACCTACCGTCTCCAAAAGGAAATGGTGTCAGATTTCCTAGAAATGCTTTGCATATTAAACTTTTGTTTGATGAAAAATCAATAACCAAAGTAAAATAGGGTAGGTTTTAATATTGCATTGGTCTGCCAGGCTGACTTCCCCAAGTGGGTATCTAAAAAAAGGTCCTTGAACTCAATACACACACATACGCACAGACACACAAATACACTAACACTGCCACTTCTTGGGCATCGCTGAAAACTGAGAAGCCTTGTCTGGGACTTGGGGTTTAAACTGAAAGGTGAGATGCAAGAAAGAAAACTCATTTCAAAGCACTTCTGTAGAGGACTTGGGCAAATACCATTTCTTACCAGTTCTCTCTGCATTTATCGTTTTGCTAGGGCGGTACTAGCTAGAGGTGCTTCGAATCTTCATTTCCAAACTGGCAGAGAAACAGGACCACACACTTCAGGGTTGGGAGAGAAAATAGGACTCTTCTGGTCTCAACGTCTGCCCAGTGCAAATCTCTTTACTGTCTTTGGGAGATACCCCTGTTTGCTAACTGGACCATTCCAGGAACAGGAAGCTCATTAGATCTATCTTCCATGTTCCTTGGATTCCCCTTTCACTGGGGGAGAGCAATAGTGCTCATTCCAGCTTGTGTTATAAAATAGATCTAATTATTAGATGGTGCTTCTGTACCTTTACCAGCTTCTGTGTACCTTCCATTCACTGGTTCCAGTTTTAGAATGTGCATTTTTTCCTCACGTCAATGCTTTTGTAGATAAAATACAAAAACTATCTCAGGGGTCACCAGAGTCTGTAATAATAAGACTCAAAGAGAATACCCCCCCCCCCAATAGTTTATTTTAAGATGAAAGGAGAGGGCTTCAGTGCAGAAGAGGTAAAGAATTATCTAGCTTATTTAAGCTAGCTTCAGTGCAGGGGGGAGTGGAGGGGAAGATATATCCTGTTTTTTGCATAGTGAAATTCCAAATGTAATGTTCCAGTTTTTAGTATGAATTAGCATATATTTTGATACGAACTTTAACACTTAATGTGCACTTCACACCAACATAGTTGTTTGACCTCAGATTTTGAGAGGATTCGGTGTTCATTTAGGTTGGAAATTCTTCCTGCCAGTGGTCACATAGCAGCTATTTACCAAGCACAAGATTTTGCAGAAAGTCAGTAAATTATTAAACATGTCTTCAACACCTAGTAGATGAATGAGGCATGCCAGAAAAATGAGATTTGGAAGGAAATGGTCCATGCTTTTGTGCCATTCACACATTAATGAAAGAGACATATGAACCAATTAAAAAGTAAACAGTAATTACAGTACACTATGATGAGTGCTATTGTGGGGTCACACACAGGGAGGGAGGAGACGTGAAGTTATGAATTCTGTTCATGCAGTTGGTACAGGCTTTATATGGACATGTTCATCCTGAGTGTTGAAAATGAATAGGACTTGGGCAAATAACAAGGAGCAGAAGGGCCAAAGGAACAGAGAATGCAAAAGCACAAAGGAATAAATATGCATGGGTATTTGAGGGTCAGTTAAAATAGTAAAAATAATAGTGTCAAAGGGTATCCTTTTAAATGATAATCCTTCCAAGGAAAGTGAGGATTTCGACTCTAATGAGAAGTTGAAATAACCGTTCATAATCCTTATAACCTAAAGAATGAATTCAATTGTCTCTCTTCCTTTCTCTTTCATCTCTACCTTCCAAGAAGTTCCAAATACTCATAATGTAATAACCCCTTATATTTACACAGCCCTTTACAGGTAACAGGGCAATCTTCCTATGCACTGTGCTACCTAATCCTCATCTGAATTCAATTATAGCATTCAACCCGAGTCCTTCCCCAGACTTTACCAACGTGTGTGTGTGTGTGTGTGTGTGTGTGTGTGTGTGCTTGTGTGTGTGTAAGAAAGGTTTCTTCCCGTTACCCTAACAATAGTAATTACATCACTTTATATTACAAAGAGAATACAGCAATATCAGATGATTGGAAAGATCAGGGAAATATATAAATTTTCAAGGACACAGAGAGTCAAGAGATTCAAACATCGAAATATTTGTTCAAAGGTGAAGTGAAAATACTTTTCCATAAAAGGACACAAAGTTATGTGGATTTCCAAGTATCTTTTGCTTGGGTCCCGCTCTTCGAGCTAACAAGGTTCCCCTCCAGCTGGGAGGTAGAGAAGCCTGAAGCCCTCAAGTGAGATTTTAATTCAGTTAGTGTTTACCAGTTTGATGCAGCAACCAAGGACCTATGGTGTCTGATTAATAGGCCGATGCTAAGGTAAAAGAGTGAACAGAGTACCCATTTGGATAAGCCTGGCAGCAAAGCATGGCATTGCCATGGAAACCACAGAAAGCCATTAATTAGCTATCAAAATCACTGGAAAATTCTGGACCCTGGCATATCTGCCCCCTTCAAAGAGGAGGACAAGAAGACTTCACACTAACAGCAAAGTCTCCCTTCATTGATTAAAATCATAGCTGCACAGGCACTACATGTCACAAAGTGGAAGAAAGATTAGGAAGTAAAACAAATTGACACAAAAGAAGGAAAGAGTCTTTGGGATTATCCGATTCCAAGGATATATTTTAAATGTAGAGTATCTTATTGGGTTGTCTATGTTGATAAACTTGTCTCAATGACAAACATTTTCTCCTATTCTCTGTTTGTGGAAAGAAAGTGAGAAGAATAATGTGTATCCACTAGATGGTGATAAATGATTGGGGGAAGCTATCAGAGAGTCAAAGCGTGAGAAGCAATTAACCCCTAAAATAATAGATGGAGACAGTGTAACTTTGAAATTAATAGGGGGAAAGTTTTTTAATTAAAAAGAAGGCAGAAAAGGAGAAACAAAAGAATCATTAAAATAGCTGAATACATAAACAGACATAATAACAAAACTTGCCACACAAATAATCACAATAAATGTACTTGGACAAAACTTGCCAGTAAAGAGACAGAGGTGGTCAGACTACGAGTTATAACTTTTGAAAGTAATGGGAAGAGGGCTTCCCTGGTGGCGCGGTGGTTGAGAGTCCACCTGCCGATGCAGGGGACACGGGTTCGTGCCCCGGTCCGGGAAGATCGCACATGCCGTGGAGAGGCTGGGCCCGTGGGCCGTGGCCGCTGAGCCTGCGCTTCCGGAGTCTGTGCTCCTCAACGGGAGAGGCCACAACGGTGAGAGGCCCGCGTACCGCAAAAAAAAAAAAAAAAAAAGTAATGGGAAAGAAGTTTGAAAATAAAAAGATGCGTAAAGGTATCCTAGACAAATATTAGCTAAAAGGAAGCTGATGTAGTACTGTTAATAGCAAAGTGGACTTTAAGGCAAAAACATTATTAGGATTAAAGATGGTCAATTCAGCAGGGAAAGTGGAGAGAAGACTGGACACATAGAACCATAGTCTCTTTAGGCTAAAGGGGTCATTAAGAATCTGTAAAACTTCAACTTTCACAGATGAAGAGTTATACTCGATGTTATTCTACAAGTTTTGAACACTGACCATGATTACAGTTCTCTTTTCACTACCTCCAAGTAAAAGACTGTCCAGTCTAACCTCCTAACCAAGACAAGAATCAGTTCCATGACATTTAAACTAATAAGCTAATAATTGTACAGAAACTCATATGCAAATATTCTCTCTCTCTCCTCTATCTTTCTTTTCTATGTCACCAAAATCTTCCATATAGGCATTTTTCCGGTTGAAGGTCAATGCAAATCTTTGGTTGGTTATAATGAGCTCAGGCTGAGCAGAGAGTACTCTCTTCCTAAGAACAGAGTGGCTCCAGCTCTGCCAACCTGAGAACCTACAGATGGAAGAAGTTACCTGAATGAACTCTCCTTTCTCAATATCCCTGTCTTTCCAAATCATTATCAGGGCCTGAAGTGTAAGGTCATCCCTCACTTTTCGGTATTGGATCTAATGGTAAGCATTCTGCATCAAGGCATATGGTACATTCTCTGACTGGCTTGGAACCCTCTTTCCTCTCAATAACTCACAGATCAAGACAGATAGATGCAGGGAGTGGGATGGGACAGTTTTGAACCAATGAGGAGGAAATCAACCCAAAAGTCATAGTTACTTTTGGGGGAATTGCGGATCTTTTTGAGAAATGTGAAGGCTCTGGACTCTTTTCCAATAAAAATGTGGTCAGAAGCTTTTATTTAAAACTTTTGTCAAAGCCATTTTCTTCTTGGCATAAATGGCTCCATGTAGAAGTGTTATGGAGACTGTTTTATGGAGACTTCACATACACTTTTGAATAATATTTCACAGTTCCGTTAATGATCTTTCTTGAACATTCTAGAATACTACAAACCTTCAGTAAGTGCCTCTGATCTCACCTAGACCCTTTATTTTACGAAATTTAACACTTCAGCTTTCAGAGATGAGGAGTTGCACCCGAAGTTATCCTAAAAGTCTTGAACACTGAGCGTGAGTTTAGTTCCCTTTACCCTATCTCAAGCATATTTTGGCCTAGAATCTCATATCAGGGTAATGTAGTTCAGATAGCTGAGTCCTGCCCTTAGGGAAGGCAGTTTTTAACATACAGGTA